TCCCAGACACATCAGTGGAGGGAGCTACTGCAGCTGGTGAGTCAAAAAAGCGGGATGCAGGGACAACGACTGGCCATCGACGAGTCCCAACCTCGCCAACCATTGGATTCAAAACCACTTCCTTCTGCTGTCTCTGCACCAACGTGAGATGGCCACCCTCCCAAAGCCTCCCAAAGCCTCCCAAAGCCTCCCTGCCCTGGACTCGACAGACAAAGACGGCACATTTGGAGGGCCAGGACAACCTTGAAATTACCTAGTGACATTAGCCTGCCTTTCCGCATCAGGCAAGTCACAGTGATCCGCGCCCTGATCGATGGCACGGCCTTCGTCCCTGGGACCCCGGTTCTGCCTCCACATTCCAGCGCACCTCTCACCACCTTGAGATCGGCCACTACCTATTTACGGACATGCCCAGATCCTCCTGCCATGGGTGTTCGTGCTAATCATGGGTTCTTTTGGTCTCGGTAGACCTGCCTGGATGGGTGATGAGTGATGCTGACAGAGTGCGGCGTGCGAAGTAGTCTACGCACGACGAACTCTTTCGGGCTCACCAGTCCACGCCTGCAGGCCATTGTTCATGATATATCATTCTCATCTCCCCTTCCCACATCCGAGGAGCGACGGGCACGTGCAATCCGCGGCCTGTGATGCTTGTTCCCAGCACCCGGACCTGTGCTCCGTAGGGCTGCCCAGTCCGATGATATGGGAGGTGATGTGATGAGCAGGTATGTACTTTTGCTTCTTCTTCTTCTTCTTCTCTCTTCCCCCACAGTGTGGTTTCATTTCAGTACCTACCTGTCCCGTCTCTCAGACCATTTCATAGATTTCTTATTATCCCCCCCCAAAGGCAGAGAGCCAACAACAAGGCGAAGCGTAACTGCGTGAAATAACGGACAAAGAAGCGGCCGACCTTTGATGGAGCTCGCCGCCATCGATCTCTTGGCTTGCTTAGGCAACTAGTAGAGAGGGCTTTTCTCCATGGCATTTGCCAATTTCACTAAGTATCTATACTCAGGACTGTCCCTAGGGGGTGTGGATTTCCCCGAATCGAGGGTACCCCAGGAATGCTGGGTCGGACCAAGTGTCTCTCCTCTCGGGACTAGCCCGGGACCAAAAAAAGCCAAGGGCCGGCCGCCAGCGGGGAGCCCGCGACGTGTAGCTCCGTCGTGAAAACCATGGGCCTCTACGCCTCTTTGCTTCTTCTTTCTCTCCTAGATAGCTCTTGTGGGAGAGCCACCCCGAGGTCCCGCATCGCATCAATTCAGTTCCTACGGGAACCATCACCAGCCTTGCCCTTTAGCTGCCGAAGATACAGGTAAAGTGACCCTTCCTTTCTTTTTCCTGTCCCGGCGCTGGCATGCTCGACGCAGGCATGCCATGCCCGTCGATGACCGCCAAGCCATGGCACGGTTCACCCTAGTCCCATGGTTCGGCCCATGAAGATCGCCAGCAGTTCCCCAAGTGAGACAGTATACATTTGGTGTAAACTGATTGATCGTTCTCCCCCCTCTCTCCTTTTGCTTCCGTTCTCTCAAGATTGCCACGCCGCAATTTCGGGCACGATGTTATGTTGGGTTGCTACAGCGGGATGCAATGATACGCCACGCACGCAGGTACCATGCCGTCAAATTTGCCCTGCGTCGTCGATCTCGATTAAATTGTTCGTCTTGCCGCTAAGCTGTCCAGCACGCCCGCCGCCTTGGAGCAAAAACACAATCCCTAAGAGCTCATGCTCTGCGGCTGTTGGCGAGACCGGACGTCGACCCACTAGCCTACGAGTCTGACTGGCAAGATTGTCCTTTTTGCGGAGGTCTCTTGTCATAAAGTGGTTGCATGTCCGCAGACAGGGATGAGGCCTGTCGTAGCTCCTTGAAGGGGGGTTGTGTGACGGTGACGTGGGATCTGCACGTTATGGCATTTGGCTTCCCATTGTCGAAAGCGCTATCAAGAGACAAGATTTCGCAGCTTTGCTCCGGTAATAAGACATTAAGAACCGCCGTCCTCCTCCACAGGCCTTTGCTTGCAGGGGTACTCCGGCCTTATTCGCATTGGCATCTTGGCCTGTATCGGTATCTTGGATCACTGATCGGTCGACAGAAGCAGGCACTGCAAGGAAATCTGGGGCTCCAATTTCCGAAGTGTCCTCTGGTCAGCACATCGATTCGTGGGTGCCCAGGCCAAGCAGGTTCCGATACAGCGGCATACCTAGCACGCATCAACGAAACGGTGGAGATGGCTTTGTGGCTGCTTTGTCTGTTCGCACCGGCGGCGTGCCCCAAGATTCTGCAAGACTCAGGGGACGCGGACACCAAAGCGCACCCAAAGCCGTCAGCCGTGAGTCTCACAACCAACGGCTCTGCGTCTGTTGCAAAGGCTAGCAGTGACTAGCCAACGACTGGACGAGACGGATCGGACCTGTGCGGTCCAGTCCTGGATGCGGCAGGGGCCCTCCCTCCCGCAAACTCGAGCTACTTCGTACTTATCTCTTGCTAGTTATCCATCAGCGCCTTCACTACCGTGGGCCAGGTGGGTAATGTGGGCTGTTTTCAGCTCGCCGCCTGCGATGTGTCCAGCTGAACCCAAGGCACAATCAGCAACTTGAGAGCATTTGATCCTTCGTATCTGACCTCGCACTTGCTCGAGTGTTGCGTGCATGCCACGTAGATAGAGTTTGCTTGGAACCAAGGTAATACGCTCTGTGGACCATCATCTCATCTTTGCTTAACTTCCTCCCTCCAGTTCTAAGTGCTGTCGTCCCATCTTTCTCGTGTTACCGGCGGCCACCCCAAGTAGCTAGCATTTAGGTAAACGGCCGCCTGCCTTGTAAAGCGGTGGCTTGAACTCAAAACTCCAAACTGTACTTCGGGGGTGTCCGCAAGACCAATGCGTTGAGATTGATACAACACAAGGATGCCCCACGTGAACGGACTTCAGGACGGAGAAGCTACCTCACTATGAGTACTTGTAGTTGTCCACGGGTGTGTGTACCCAAGTCGGACAAGCTGACAGGGACCACCCCCCGCGCCTATTCGCAGCACGTCATCCTCTGGTCTGTCGAGCCACAGGCGGGGGGGGGGGGAGGGGGGAAACCAGACGCATGAATCCAGGAAATTGCGAGATAGGTGGTGTCCCTCATCCCGGTAAGCCGGCTTATCGAAGAACGGGAAAACCATCTCGCATCCTGGAGACTTGCGCACCAGCAGTCTGCTTCCTGTACAAACGCATCTCGGCCCAACAAAGAACCCCTTGCTCGTGCATGTTGTAGACTGCAGGTACGTTGAGGGTTGAGGAACCAAGAAGGGTGATAATGCACGATGATTGGAGGGTGGGTTTCAGCCCTACAAACCAACCCAATTGCTGTCCAGTCCCCCCTCCAGCAACCCGCGTTGCATGATTCGCCTTTGTACTGTCTTGGGACTGGACATCGGTCTCTGCCCACGATGGCCTCGTGAGGTACGGCGAGCAACGGGAGCTTTCAAAAGGGGGTAGGCGCGGAGACAAGAGGCGAACGGAACCTCACTCGTTTCTTTGTGCATGTGTGATACATGCGCAACCCGCTTCTCGGCGGCAAATGCTTCATGCGCAATAAGCGCTTCGCGAGGTCCGCCTGCAGCTTTTCCCCGGACCATTCAGGATTTGCCAAGTGCCTCTCAGAGCGTTCGTTTGTGGCTAGGTACTGGTGTTCTTCTTTCCAAATCACACCTACACGTTGTCGCTTGTAGCGTGTACGCAAATAGACTCGGGAGACTTGTTTCGGAAGAGACCCAGCGACGAGTCTCATCGAACTGCTTGTTCTCTAGCCTTCGAAACATCAAGTTCCGGGGGTGAAGCTTGCGGGAAACCCTGTCGTTGTTGCAAGATGCATAAAATGCCCCTGGTCGATGAATGTTTACAGATCCGTCTCGAAGCCTTTTCGAAACAAAACGCCTGGTGGAACTGTCTGGAACTGGAAACTCAACAGCGACAACGGCCTGGCTCTGCTTTTGACTTCACGAATGGCGGCAAATCCCGCGTATTTGGCAGGGTTCGGGGGCTCGTGATTTTAAGAAGGTCCTGACAGTGCTTCATTCATTCAGCGTTATCTGGTATTCTAACGGTAGGCTGGATCCTCCATCCATCCAGCCTCCTCGCCTCCTCCTCTTCCTAAAGACCTTTGCAAGATCTTGCTTGAACGTGGAAAAGACCCTCGTTGAATCGGCCCTTTTCCGCAAAAGGGTAAAAAAGAAAAAGAAAAACAGAAAGGAGAAAAGAGAAAGGTAAAGGTAAAAAAAAAGGACTATCTAACATTATAAGGAAGGTGGTTTTCGCGTGTCAAAAGCGAAGTAGTTAGACACAAGTTATAAACAGTGTGTTAAGGAAAGTTCAATAGCAGGGGGAGACGAGACAGCCATTTGTCTCGCGCAACAGTGTTCCCCGAATCTGCCTGCAAGACCAAGTTGTCGTGACCTCATCTCGAGCCCGCCGATTAAGCTCCCATCTCCTGGCCTTGCAGGCAGGTATCGGTGTGCAGAAGTGTGTGCAGTGGTATAAAAGGAAAGTAGTCGTCATCTTGTAAAACTCATGCATGCGGGGGGGGTATTCAAACTTCTTCTCCGATCTCCTCTCTCTCTCTCTCTCTCTCTCCGTGTTCATCTCGCCTCACAGAGCTTCTCCAACTGTCATGATGTCCAGCCTGCCGATTACCCATTGTACTTCAGGAAAAAAGTGACCGTTAATCATCGTTTCATCCGAGGACGTGTTCGAGGTGGAAAAGAAAGAACAGGATTGCGCTATGCCGTTCCGGATCAAACCCAGGACTCTCGTGGCTCCCCCAGTCCCTGAATGCCATTCTATATGTTACCCGAATTATCATGGTCGGAATTCGAAAGAAAAGGAAATGAGTGAAAAATCACATCTCGCAAAGTCGTTGTGTTTTGGTTCAAGTGCAGAATCGTAGACACCATGTCTACCTTCCCATTGAGTTGTCGGACTGGTTCCCATTGGGAGGGGGGGCTCCGGTTTCAGATCATGTTGCTTAGCCCGTCCATTGAAGTCATGACCACCCTCGGCTGTGGCTGCTGAGGTGGCTGCGGTTGTGTGACCTCAATGCGCACCATCTGGGGGTGAGACGTGGGCGGCGGCGGTGGCGGCAGGTGCTGCATCTGCGGCGGCTGGAGTTGCTGCGTTGACATGTGCGCCACTGGCTGCGGGTGCGCTGGGGTTGGCGTCGTGGCTATAGACATGCTGGCCGGCGTCATTTGCGGTGTAAGCGGCGTCTGAGGCTCAACCTTGGGCTTGGCCATGTTGGCGGCGGCCAGGCGCGTGTGACTGCTCTCTCTTCGCCGTTTAGGAGCATCCTTGATCTTTGGATGTGTGTGGCACTGATCAAGTCAGTACGAGTCGAAACTCTTCTCGAGAATGCCCCAGCCTATCGACTGGACTCACCTTGTATGCGTGGCGGAACCAGGTTGTCCCCTTCTTCTTGCTCGAAACCAGGGCTATCCAGTCATTGCAGGATCCGCACAGGCCCTCCCACACGTCTGGATTGCCATCCATTCTCCTCGTCTCCTGCGGTTCTTGGAACGGGTTGCCCGTGGCGGCACTGATACCGTGCGTGAAACTCTTGTCATACCAGAAAGCCGAGTTCTTAAGCACTAGCCAACGGCCGGGCTTGCAAATCCCACACCATCCCTCACGCTTGTTCCCGTGGCCTCGGACCCATCTAGGCGTGTACAGGTCGCCGTCGAACCTGAGCTCCTGCTCGTGAGGCACCATGTCTGGATCGGACGGATTCATGTCTTCTGGCGGAGGCGGGACCTGTTCCTCATTGAGGGAGGCGTACAGGTCCGGAGGGTCTGATAGATCGGTGTAGTGGCCATGTAAAGAGTGAGGATCACCGTTACTTTGGAGCATGCGGAAGAGGCCATGGGAAAGCAGTGGTGGCGGGTTCTCAAAATGATGCATCTCCGGGTGGAATGCCTGCGAAGGCAGTTGAGAAGGCAGAAGCATACTGTGTCGCGGAAACGCAGGATTCGGCGCCATGTAGAATGGAGGCTGTTGGACAGCCTGCAGGTTGCCAAAGTTGAGGGGAAGCTGGTTCTGAGCAATGGTCGGAGACGAGTGCCGTGACGACATACGGGCGGCGAAAGGATCATGAGGGTGGTGGTAAACGAAAGGAGCAGGTCGTTTGTTAGGGCCAGTCCCGTAGGATCCAGTAGACCACCTCTTGTTCCGAGAGGTTTCCACGCTGTAAGGCGCAGATCGCATGCCCGGGCGAGGAGATGGCGAGGCTCTTCCGCGACTTTGCGTCCGGACCAGTTCGGAGCGGGTATGGGGAGTCATTCTTGGCGAGGCAACCGGCGAGAGCTGTGTTGATGACATCAACGAATTCCTGTTGGACGGAGGAGGATAATCGGAGCTGAACGACGGAGCGTCTGACAGCGCAGCAGAGAAATCTTCATAGGAAGGCATGTCTGACAAGCCACCAGAAGTCGACATGGTGAAAGATGATCCCGACATCCTCCGTGGATTAAGACCTGCGTCAAAGTTCAACGCATCACCCTCCATCGGCGGACCCGAGTATCTGAGGTCTAGGATCGGGATCGCTTCATCGGTGGTGTAAGCCTGACCTATGCCTGAGATATCCGTGTCAATGTGCAGATCCAGCTGGTCCTCCCCGCATGGCTTGTGAACCCAACTCCCTGTAACCCAAGTCAGTCTCGCATCGTCAGCTTTGCGCAGATGGATCAAGCAACGTACCGCCGTCCATGGTGGTGGTGGGGTAGAATTGCTCATGGACGGAGATGGGCCGTGAGGGCATGCTGTCGCTGGGCGTCTGCTGCATTGTCAGGCTGGAAGAGTCCCACGAGGGGAGGCCTTCGAAGCCGTCGCCCGTCACGAAAGAGAAACCTTCGTGGATGGTGGCGGGACGCGGCCGCATGCCCTGTGACGTGGGCGTGGTCCATACTCCTTGAGGGGCGCCCATGGTGTCGTTCTTTACTGGCATCTCGTTCCCGTTCATAGTGACGATGGGGGTCGGGCGTGGTGGGCGGCCACCCCTTCTATAGTTGTTGTTGTTGTTGGGATTGAAGTTGAAGGAGGGTGTTTGTACCTCTTGATGTCTGTACGAGTATAAGCGGCGAGGAACCCTAGCATAAGGGGACAAGGGAAGGCTCACACTTGGGGCTGGCCTTGATCCATGGCACGGCGAAGTTGACAAGAGGACAAGAGAGTAGTGTGGTTAATCTATCAACGACCGGAAGCTGAAGAGAGCTGGGGGGGTTAGCATGAATCTAAAGACGGAAATGAGCGATGTGAACGGACGCCTGGTTGACAGGCTCCACCCGGCCTGGAAAGGATCAAGGTATACGGATTAGGAGCCTCGTGGGGTCTTCAGACTGACCGGATCGAGAGAAAGTGGGATGACTAGCTGGAGTTTGGGTGATGGATAATCTCCGGTGAAGGCGTGATGTGTCGAAGGCCTGCCGGGCTGAGTATGTGACGGGCAGTGGCCCGAAGGCGTGTTGCAATAATGAGCGTTGTGGGTACGGGTTGAGCCTCAGTAATCTCTCTGAAACGGCAATGATTGTAATGCCTCGCGTTGAGGTCAACGTGGACAGACGGCGTATAGCTAGCTGGGCGTGATGGCCAGTGTTGGATGTAAAAAGGAATGTGGTGAGTTTGGAGGCGAGACCAACTCGTTGAGACGATGTGTACGCAAAACTGGCACCCGGGTGGGAAGAGAGCCAGCTCTTGGTGTATTATAACCAGAGGTGTGATAGCAAGGAAAATATTATACGGTAAACTAGTAGGCGAAAGGAGTGACTAGCAAGAGAAGAGGCGGCGGGCAGCAGGCTTGGGAGTGTGGGACGTCGCGAAAGAGGAGCAAGAGAGCCATCTGGGTGAGGGGCGGCGCAGGACCTCGAGGGTATAAGAAAGAACAGAGCAGGTTACGATGGGATCCCCAGCAAGGCGGCCACCCAGACCAATGGTCCTACACGGTCAGGCTCGGAACACCGGTAGGAGCTAAGCCGGATGTTCCTGATACAAACGAGACTGCTGTCTGTGGGCTCTGGAGAGGAGGATGGTGTGCGAGAGCGGTGCTTGGCCGCCTCCTGCCTCTCCTACCTAGCCAGAACGAGCCATGTTGCAAGGATCCGCCACACAGGGTGTACAGGGTTACATCTTGTCGATGATGGGGAATTGTGGGATCGAGGTGCCGATGAACCAGGGACGGATCCAGACATGGTTCTCTCTGGGAGGAGGGAGGGAGGGAGAGGGCTACTTGGCTACGGACAGGGCCACAGGGCGAGGGAGGGGGGAAATGGGATAAAACAGAGCGGGCAAGACTTCTCCCACCGACACAAACAGACAGACACCGGCATCCCACACTTGTCGAAACCGGATGGCCAGATCAGATTTCGGGCACCTGGTCTAGCGCGGGTGCAAGGAAGAGCTGACCTACGAAGTACGAAGTACTCGGTAAGAAATCGCCGGCAGAGGAAAATGCAAGGGAGACGGATGGGGCACCGAAGGACTGCCAGCCCAGTCGACGAGACTGGGGGACAGGCCGGACGGGCAGCCAAGAGAAAGCAAGGAGGTGGTGGTGGCCGTGGTGGACAACACAAGGACGGACGGAGTAACTACACTACGAGGAGTGGTGATGAAAGGACGTGAGCAAAGAAGAAACCGGCCTTACTTGATGGGGGTTTTTCCCATGTGGGCCAGCCCCAGTGCCAACGGGCCAGGGACAGGGGGTAAGCGACAAGGGCCCAGGAGACCAGGGGGAGGGGGGTGACAGAGGACCCTCTCTGGACGAGGACCAGAGGAGGTGGCTTGTCTCATCTTCTATGCTTAACGAGTGGCGATGCCCGACAACTTCCAGGGCAGACTGAGGGAGAGTTGGAGGCACGAGGGTGATCGGCGAAGAAATCCAAACATTTGCGGGTAAGTTGAGCCTTGGCGTCGTCGACTGCGGCAGACGGAGTGTGGCCCGCATGTGCGCGTGTGAGTGCGCCGAGGACAAGACGACAAGCTGAAGCTTGTATCATATTACCTAGCAGCGAGCGAGAAACGGGCTTTGTGTTTGCCTGCTTTTGTTCCTCCTCTCTCGCTCTCTTTGATGTCAAGACTCCTGAATACAGAACGACTCTGACTCTGTAGACACCAGCCTGCTTCTGCTTGCGCACAGCCGGCTCCATGACCTGGGCTCGGGTCCGGGTCGGGGCGTGTGTGTGTGTGTGTGTGTGTGTGCGTGCGTGCGTGCGTGAGCAGTAACTACTTGTAAGAAGGGCATGGCTGAGATGGCCCGACCCCGACCTTACGCACCGTAAATCAGTCGTAGGTTATTTGAAAGAAGCGTGCAGATGACGGATCTGGAAACCGCAGGAAACTAGAAACCAGCCCTCTACCCCGTTTACCCCAGTCCAATCAGTAGCACCTAGGGAAGATCACGAACGAGACTGTTTGGCAGGAAAATCTAACATCGGGTCGCTGTTTGGCATCACCGTGCTCCTCCTGGTTTGGGATTGCTGCAGGCGCGCAGCCGCTCCCGCAGCTTTCCCGATCTGTCGCTCGCTTGCGAGACGGTGCACTTGTTGACCAGCAGATCACAAGAGCACACTCTCATCACGAGGAAGAGGAACAGCGAGCATGAGAAGATGCTCGCACACGCGCTGCTGGTCCAGAGGAACACACTCCACTCGACCCAGTAGTTCCTTACCCTCTTACCCACTGGTATCGTCTAGATGGGTACTGTGCTGCACGATATCAGACAACGGCGTCGTTCGACGCTATATCTTAAACACGGCAGGCTCTTGTCTGCCCGTCTTCCTGATGACGGACAGGCACGATAGATAGGTCGCCCATAGGTCACCCCCGGAGGGATGGTGCAGATCCCGCGAGACCGACTCGACTGGTGCAGAGCAAGCCAGGTCACCAACAGCTCTGCTCAAGCGTGTGGCCAGAACCGCAGCCCTTGGTCCAAGCGGTCGAGCGAGCGTCCAGGAGCCGCCGAATGCAGGGCCGAAGAGAGGGTATAATAGAGGGATTGCATATATGTGAACACGGCCACGGTGGAAGCGGACGACAAGAAACAAGACAAGCAACCGGGTGATGGTGGTGCTGGTGCTGGTGGGAAGGGGTAGTCGAGAGACAACGGCGACAGAAAAGAAAAAAAGAGACGGCGGACACGCGTCGTTAGAAGTCCGCATTTAGATTGGGCCGGGGCACGCGATGATTGGGCAGAGCCTCGATGTATCATTGCAGGGGCTCGCAAGTGCCTGCAGGTGCGGCCGTCGGGGAGCGACTAGGGCGCTTTGGAGATGTGGAGGGGGAGCCAGTGGCAGCGGTGGGCCCAGACCTGCCCAGACCTGCCCTGGACGGGACGCCACGGGATTCGCTGTCGCTGCTGTCCAGCGGGGCCTGGCCGGGATCTGGCGGGCCTGTCGCAGGGATGGCTAAGGTTTGGCAGGGGGTTTGAAGTGTCTCAGATCTGTCAGAGAATCCCGGGCCCCTGTCTCGTTTTCCAGAAGTCCCCGCCGTGCACTTCGCTCTGACTGGATATTCACTCCTGGATCTTACTCACGACGTACTTTAGCTGGGTATTGCCCTTGACCACTTTGGACTTTTGTTGAATACTTCGTACGGTCTTGTAGATATCCATCCTTTCCTCCAGCCAGCCTGTCCCCTTTGTCTTACCGCCGGTGTCGTTGGTCTGCCAACTCAACCAGACTAGCTACCTTGGTTAGACCGCAGCAGTCTTTTCATCGGATCGGGTGTCAAACGACGACCAGTCTACCGATACGACCCTCGGAAACAGTCATCTGGGGTGTGACTTGGACCAGCCTTGTGGATCTCGGTCTCTTCAACAGGAACAAGCAAATCAGGGTCGCTGACAAGACGGTTAGTCATTGTCGGAGACCCTGTCTTGTTTTGTCCTCCCTCTTCCTGTGGTACTTGGACGTACGTATGTATCTAGTTACATCCGAACTCGGGACGATCACCAGCTAGTCCACCTTGCTGTCGTCGAGCCATTGTCTCGTGCTCGCTTGGTGGCGCAGGACTTTGTTTCCACGTCTCGTGCGACTGTCCTGCTCGAGCGTGGCTTAGATAGTGATGGCCTTGTGTCGGCTCTCCACGTCAACGTCATCTTTCCCAGGTGCTCGGTGGACAACCTGGACTGTTCATCTGTTGTTGCGAGTCTCGAGGTATCCCCGGATCGACGGGCTGCAAGGCGCAAGCCGTCGAGACTGGACGAGATGTCCTTGCTTGCACGATCACTGCACCCTCCATCTTCGCTACCTCTTACCCAGCTAGGTATTCCTCCTCCGCGATCTGTCCTGTGCTCCGCAGGTGGCGCGCCTAGGTGCTTATAGGAGCCGAGCTATAAGCCTCGTACCGTCCCACATCAATATTCAGATTCATGCGTACCTCACAGGCAGGATCAGAACGAATCTAGATACACCGACCTCCATTGGTTCCGTGTATGCCGCCCCCGCCGTGGACGCGGTCTTCGTAGTCAGTTCAGATCTTGTTCGCTGTACGGCTCGGCCAGCCAGAGACAGGCTCGTCTTGCCTGCCATCCGAGAGACATGCTGGGTTTTGCTTCTTGTAGATATTTGGTCCAGTCCCGTCCGACACACACACACACACACACACACACACACACACCAACGGTAGTATCTGTAGAACCCGTGTGAAATCCCCATACCTCTTCAGTGATCATCACGCCTGAAGCCGCCCAACTAGACGCGGTTGTACGTGATCGCGCTCTCTCTAGCATTTTCAATTCCAATCCTTGCCAGCCCTCTGCTGCCCTGGTCAAATGTGCCCTGCTCGCGATGGCGCTAGACATCCTTCTACAAGTCTTCGACATGTTCTGTGGGGATGCCGCCCCCCTCCCCTCGTTCCTCTTTCGTCCGGACACGCCGGCGAACGGACGCCGGTGCTAAGTTGGCATGACCAACCGTGCCAACATAGGCACCACCTACTTTATATGCATAACAAAGCCGTCCGCTTTGGGAAATTACATTCATACTTTTGCCGTCCAGCACCTGGGTCAATAACTGCGCCATCCTATGAAAATCGTCAAGGGTGGCCCAGGCTGCCTCCATGATGACGCGATTCCGGCTTCTATCTTTGTCTCTTCTGGTCCACCTTGGCCGGACTGGGGAATCCTCGGAAGGAGTGCGTATGTACATCGACTGAACACCAAATCCTTGACGGCGTTGTCACTCTTACAAGACAGCGCGGATGCTCTCCCGGACAGGGCTGCAAGTGGCGCCCCTTCTCAGGTACCGCCCGCGAGATGCCAGATGCGGGTATCGCATAAACTTGGCACGATACTACTGAACTAAGATCTACACGTATATTGTATGATGCACAAGCAGTCGAGGATTCGTGCATGGTACGACCTTGCTTGATCCAGCACCCACACATGGATTGGGGACGAGAGACGCGATCTATGTCCATGGAGCCTTGTGATGATCGCCTCGAATCGATGGCGAGCAGCGAGACCCCGCCTCGGACACGAACTGTATTAGAGAAGCACCGAGACACACAAGATGGGCCGGTTCCTGCAAGCCGGTCGGTGTTGAAGGAGAAGACATGGATATCCATCGAATCTGTATCTATTTTCAGTCTTGTCCCACTACAGACCAAGATATCCATCGAGCTTCGCAAGCAGAGTCCAGGGGTGCTGCGCTAAGGCGTGGGGGGACACGGCGTATCTCCAAATCCTGGGTTGTGAGCATAATGGCTGATCTGTTCATGATAACCCTGTGCTTTGTGAAAGATGCTCGATGGACAAATTCAGGGCAAAAAGAAAAAGATATGGGACTTGCCGTGGATCGAACACGGGACCTTTTCATACAGTTAGTTACGGACTTTGTGTGAAGACAGTGAGAGAGTGGAGCTTACCTCTCGCAAGAGAATGCTTTCGGGTGTTACCCTAAGCGAGAATCATACCACTAGACCACAAGTCCGTTGATTGGTTGGATGGCGCGATGGCTACTTTGCAGGTACATACACGAATCACCGTGGCCGAGTCTTGGATCAAACTATACTTCCTTTTCACGCCCGTACATCATAGTACTGAATATATTGAACAGCTGTTTCTCTACAAGCGCGATGCCTATATCCAACTCAACAGTGTATCTAGATAGCATGCCTACAAAGCTCACCATGGTTGGTTGCGCTTCGGATTTGAGGAAGGACAGGAAGCCATGGCTCATGCCAACCAGTATCACAAACTGACAATGGAAGCCTCCATGTACGTTGGGCTCGGACACATATCACTTAACTACTTATCGCTGGACGGGGGGATTAAGAAGGGATTTTAGAGAGATAAATTAATTGCACTTTCTCTCCATGAATCTAAACTATCACTATAACCACACTTTGCTAACTAATGATCAGCTCCCATGTACCGTTCTCTCAAAGAAATCATGTAAAATAAGAACCAAACATAATCCTGTTGTGAGCCCAAGAAGCTCTGACCTTGTGAAAAGTGCACCGGAGGTCTAGTCTCCTCTAGTCTGTAAGATTCTTCAAAGGTGCACGCCCTCGCAATTTGCTCGTCGACATTCCGTAACATCTGTAGGAGCTCTCGCCAATGTTGGCGGGCGCGCTTGGCATCGGCCTGCCTAGTTCTTGTTTATTCTCCGCCAGACTTCGCTCTCGGCTTCAGACAGCTTCTTGCCGGCCGTCTGGACGAACTTTCGGGCCGTGTCCCAGACTCCCTCATCGTCCTCGTTGCCCAGTCCTCCCGGCGTGCTTCCAGACTCGTAGGAGGAGAAGGTAGAGGCCGGCGGACGGGCATAGCTAGGCATGTCTGCCGCGCTGGTGTTCTGGTGATATCCAGGCGGGTGCTCGAGAGCTTCGTCTGGATTCCCCTGAGAGTAGGCCGGCCCGGTTGCCGGTGCTGTACCTCGTTGAGCGTATGGCATGGTTGGCGCCGGGATGTTCATCTGAGGGGGCAGGAAGGATGCTCCAGGCCCTTGTGGCGCTGCCGTCTGTGTTGGCGGAACAAATTTCTCGCCTGCCTTTGGCGGCGGCGGGAGGTACGACGTATGGCCGCTCCCGCTTCCCGGCACTGGGACGGCCCCGGGCTGCGGCGCCGGAGGACCGCCGTCATCCTCGGTCCGGGTGGTTGGTGTGGGACGGACAGGTGGCTCCTGCGTGGCGCGAGCAGTCCCGGTAGGTACCGGTGCGTACGGCGCTTGGCCTGGCCGGGCTTGTGGGTATGTAGACCCTTCAACAGCCGAGCGGGCTCTTGTTGCTGTTGCGGGTTGCTGTCTGGACTGGTCGACGACATCGGCCGGAGGGGCAGTCTCTGGGGTCACACCAGTCGGCTTCGCGGCCGCGCTGATTGGACTTTGGCTATAAATGGGAATGGGCGGCATTTTGTAGCTTTTCAGACTGCGCAGGCTGACGTGCGAGAGGGTTTGAGATAGGTGGTTGTGCCGCCTTTATAAGCTCACAGTCAAGCCGAGCACAGTTGGCAGCGTGTGTAAGTGGAGGTCTGGCCTTGAGCTGATGCTGAGGATGCCAGCGAGAGAGGTGAGCTCCCGGTGATGCTCTTTCTGGGGTTGATTGATTGAATGGCTGAGGATAAGAGAGGAACGCCAGACCGTCTAAAAGCCAGATGATTTGTTGTTTTTCTTTGGAAGATATGATTGAGGTTGCCTTGAGAACTGACTACTGTACGTGACACGTTCTCATTCTATTGGGGCCGGTGGCGACGTCATTCTTCGATGTCAGGTGACGACGGACTTGCTGGCTTTACACTTTCACGAGCTACTGCTACTGTCTCCTTGCTTACTCTGACCAGCAATCAGATAATAGCCCGGAGATGAGATGGCATCCCTGGTGAAGATATGCTGCTACCAGCCCCTCTCTACCTGGTGAGCTTGAATGACACTGCCTTACATCCTCTGAGAGGTTGGCTGTTGGTTCTGGCCGCGAGTTGGCGGTCTTGGATTATTGGTCTGGCCTGAATGGCAGCACTACGCACATGACATGTAAAGCCGATAATTAGATACCTTAATATGCGAGAGGATCACAGAAGAAGACGAGTACGGCTTTGATGTGACTGCTGTAGTGTCGCGTAATGAAGTAGATCAAAGGGCGGTGACATCTAGGACCCCAAAATGGCGAATAGGTTAGGTAGATTCAGCAAACTGTCAGCGGCAATGCTGGCCAGGCGAACCACTAAAGAGGGCTTAAATGGGCTAGAACTCACCCCGGCTTTTGGGTGCTGAGTAGTAGTAGTGACAGGGCTCTGCCGAATGCGGTAGCGCGACCCAAGCCTCGCGCCGCGAATAGCGGCGATCTTTTGACACCAAAAGGCTGCCACGATTTGTCCTCGAGATCATCTCACCCCAAACACCTGCAACATCCAAACGACGACCACAGCCGTCGCCAATCCAAGCACCGCGGCGCTTCCAAGATGGTCGGCAAGGTCAGCGAGCGCGTCCTCCTTCGGGAAGGTATGTAGACACTGCCGCAGCGCATTCGCATCACATTGGACAAAGCGATGCAGGACAGTTTTACTGACGGTGCCATTGATCGCAGGACTCGAGCGCACCGACAACAACATGAAGCAGACCAGCTGGCCTGAGATCATTCCGATCAACCAGAAGAACTATTACACGTATGCCATCTCTTCTTCTCGCGCGCTAGAGAGCCCATAGACAGCGTTGATGTTGACATTTCCACCCAAGGGAGTACATGAAGCGCGAGGATCAGATCCTCGCCCTCCGAAGCCAGAGCGATGCTACCCGAGACAAACTTGTCCAGACCGCCAAGGACCGCGATCGAGCCCTGAACCAGAATGGCGAGGTTCCTACCGATGCCCTGCCCGAGGAGGGAGCCGCCGATGCGCCCCTCGACGAACTCGACCCGTCCAAGATCATCGTGATCCATCCAGGCAGCCAGAACTTGCGCATTGGTTTTGCCAGCGACGCGCTGCCCAAGACGGTCCCGATGGTGATTGGCTACAAGTGGAAGCAGACCGAGTCGGAAGAACACGAAGCGCTGCCCCGTCGCCAGTTCGAGGCCCAAAAGATCGACCAGCAGTATGGGGAAGAATGGTCAAAGAAATACAAGAAGATGTCCGACGACCTCAAGATCGATATGAGGCTCAACAAGCGCAAGGTCCTCCCCAACTCCAAGGAATTAGTCGCCAACTATAACCGTCGAACCGAGCCAGAGGTTATCCCACAGCACAACGACCCCCTACAAATAGAGTGGACTGATGTCGCAGACCTGGAAGCGCCCGAACCCGCGTCAAATGTCATCTGGGGACAGCAGGCCCTACGTATACCAGACGATTCGGAGCCCAAAATCAAGTTGTGGTGGCCTCTGCAGCACGGCAACTTCAACGAGGACGAGTATGACGAGGTGGAAAGGTTATACGACGACTTCGAAGAGATCCTCGAGCTAGCCCTGCGTCAAGAACTCGGCCTCACCGATCGCCAACAATGGAGACAATACAGCTGCGTCTTTGTCATTCCCGACCTGTACGACAAGAAATATGTCGAGAACGCCCTAAAGTCGTGCATGGGCTGGTTTCAGTTTAACAAGCTATGCTTCTACCAGGAGAGCATGTGCGCAACGTTCGGCGCCGGCTACACTCAGGCCTGTGTCGTTGATGTCGGAGCCCAGAAGACCGCAGTCAGCTGTGTTGAGGATGGTCTCTGTATCGAGGATTCACGGATAAATCTCAAGTACGGGGGTTACGATGTGACCGAGACTTTCATCAAGATGATGCTCTACGACCATTTCCCCTACCAGGAGATCAACCTCAGGAGGCGATACGACTTCTTGCTGGCAGAAGAGCTGAAGCAGAAACACTGCACCATGTCACAAGCCGAGATCTCGGTCCAGCTGTACCAGTTCCATCTCCGCGCGCCCAACAAGCCGACGCACAAGTACCAGTTCAAGACTTACGACGAGGTGATCCTGGCGCCCATGGGCCTCTTCGACCCGGCCCTCTTTGACAGCAGCACGAAGCTCCGCGGGCGGCGAAAGCTCATCGAGCGCTCGTACAACGCGTACGACGTCGACCAGCCCGACGACCCCACGTCGGCGGCGCAGTTCGCCATCCTCGCCCGCGAGAACCCCGCGGTGGCCGCCACGGCCAACGGCGGCCCGGCTGCCGCGGGCGGTGGCGCGAACAACGACGTTTCCACGCCCAGCAAGGAGAAGTCGCAGCCCTTCAACTTCCTCGCGCGGGGCGAGGCCAACGGCACGCCGGCCACCTCCAACGCCCCCTCCCCGGCCCCCGAGGGCTCCGGCACGCCGGCCCCCTTCGTGTTTGGCGCCGGCAAGGAGGCCGTCAACGGCACGGGCAGCCCGGCGCCCAGCGCGGCCAACGGCTCCGGGACCCCGGGCCCGTCGCAGAACGGCGGGCTCACGCCGGCCCAGGCGGCCATGCTGGCGGCCTCGCAGCAGGCGCCGCCGGGCATCTTCGTCGGCGGCGACGGGCCCTCGCAGCGCGACCTCGCCGCCGAGCGCGACGCCGTGCTGCCCGTCGCGCCGCTCGACGTCGCCATCATGACGTCCATCTACAACGCCGCGCGCGGCGACGACAAGCGCCTGCGCGAGTTCGTCGGCTCCATCATGGTCATCGGCGGCGGCGCCAAGACGCCCAACTTCGCCACCTTCCTCGAGGAGCGCTTGCGCGCCCTGCGCCCGGACCTGGCCGAGCGCATCCTCATCTCGCGCAGCGCCAGGGACATGGACGAGCAGGTCGTCGTGTGGAAGGGCGCCAGCGTGTTCGCCAAGCTGCCGACCAACGACTCGTGGGTCACGGGCAAGGAGTACGAGAGGCTCGGCGCGAGGATCCTGCACCACAAGGTTCTCTGGCAGTGGTAGACCGGAGAAGAGAAGGGCCCGGTATATCTAATCTCTCATTGATTCTGTGCGTATGGGTAGAGCATAGAAAAAAATTGGCTCTGTGGGCGTTCTAGGCGTTAGGGGGGAAAAAAAAAGGGGGGGGGGGGGGGGGTCAGACAAAGTGGGTGTTCCAGAGGGCGCTTCACCGGAGGAGCTCAGAAATCTCTAGGATCAGGAATTGTAGGTTATATACTACGAGTGCTGTGGACTGTGACTCTTCAATGGCATTTTCACACACATAAATAAGTCTGGTGTGTGGCAGGCGAATCTAGACATGTAACAGTATTTCCACGCACTTGAGAAGCCAAGTAAGAATGTGCTGATCCCCCACAATGACGGAAAACATGTTGCTTGATATGATAGACGACGTGACCGCTTATGCTCGCTAACTGGAAACTCAACATGAACGACTTTGTTGCCTCGACCCTACGTCACCTGCTTGGACACCTTGACCAGCACCACGCCGTCCGTCTCCTGGCCCTGGGCGTCCATCAGGTGCACGAACCTGTACCCCCGGCGCAGCCTGTCGAGCCGCACGCACGCCCAGGCCGCGAGCCCGTCGCGGCCGATCTCGTCGTCGCGCACGATGAACCGCACAAAGGAGAGCTCCTCCACGACGCCCCTCACGCCCGAGAAGCGCAGCGCCTCGCCGGCAAAGTCCGGGTCGCACCCCTTGCGCGACTTGGTCTTGGCCTTGTACTCGCCCTCCTTCTCGCGGCCGTTGTCCGCGGGCAGGCCGGTGCTACTGCTGCTGCTGCTGCCGTGGCGCTCGCCGGGCTCCTCGACGTGCAGCTCGACCTTGAGGTACGGGTGGAAGGAGCTGGCCTTGTCGTCCTTCTCGGGCATGGGCAGGGACTGCGCCGCAAGGACCTCGATGGTGAGGTCGAGGGTCTTGTGGACAACGGCGGCCGCCGGAGCAGTTTGGGTGTCGCCCGCTTTGGGCTCTTCGGTTTTCTTTTGGCCTCGATATCCTAGATGAGAGTGTCAGTCAAAGTTTTGTTGCTTTTCCCCCCTTGCTTATAGGGGAACTATAATATGGTGGTCGTTTACCTTCAGGTTTCAATACGTAGCCGCCGGTACCAGCGAACATGCCCTCGTTGAGCATCATCCCCTCGTCCCATCTCTGCCAGTTCAGAGCGACGATCTGGATGCCCTTGCGCCAGAAAACCACAGGGTCCAAGTTGGAGGACCGGATGCGCAGGCCGGACGGGTACGCCCTCATCAGAAAGGTCTTGTTGTGATTGAACAAGGCCGCGCTCTGCTTCTCGTGGACCGACATGACGCCCTTCTCGGAGAGGGAGAATATGTGCGTCGGCATCGAGGCCTCGGGCTGCGTCAGGCTCTTGAAAGATACCCCCCGCGTGTAGATGCCCAGCCGGCTCAGTGCCTGGATGATCTTGGACGGCTTCTTTGCGGCCTTGGCACCGGCTTCGGCAGGCACCCTGTCCTCCTCAGAGTCGAGGGTGTCGGCATCACCCTGGGCCGAGGCCTTGGCCGCCGCACCGGGGTCCGGCGGCGCATACTTGACCTTGACCAGGATCTTCCTCAGAAGGGCCTCCGGCGCGGGGAGCTCTTGGGCATCCTGCGTGGGCTGAGAGAGCAGGTAGTCGGCCCAGGTTTGCTCCATGATCTTGACCATGACCTCTTGCTGCTGCGGTCCGCAGTGGACCTCTAGGCTGACGATGAGAGGCAGGTCCGTCACAGCGAAGGCGTGGTCCCGGATAGCGACACAGACGTCTCTGAATGAGACCTCCTTGGTCAGGGTATATCCGTGCAAGACTCGTGGCTCTACAACCAGGGGCAGCGAGGGGGTCTTCGTGCTGCTCACGGCGTCTGCTGGAGCTCCCTCTTTCGCCACGGTAGGAGTAGGTGTGAGTGCTGCCCCAGAGGTGCCTTTAGATTCAGCACTCCCATCCACGTAGTTGTCCAACTTCTTGCCCAGAGCGGTTTTCTCCAGGCGAGACGTGAGAGACCTTGGCAGCTTGCTCTTGACAGTATCTACCCTTGTCTTGCGCTTCGCCGCTTTCTTGGGGTCATCATCATCGCTGCTGCTGCTGCTATCGCTCGTATCAGACTCGACATCTGAGTCGTCGCCATCCCACACGTCTATCTCGATGCAACGACAACCGCGGAGCAGCACGTTCTTGTAGGCCTCGGTGCTGGAGTCGCTCGACAGCTGGTTGCCGGTCAGGTAGGTGTTGTGGCTGGAGCTGACAAAGTAGCTCGAGAGCGGCCAGCTCAGATCCCGTGCCCTTGGCGCGGCCATGATGTTGGCGCCGGTAGAGGTCATGTACTCCAAGAAGTCGTTGAACCCGAGCTCCTTCTTGGCCAGAAGAGCTGGCGAGATTGCGTGGTCATCATCGCCCTGGGTGTGTTTGACAAAGCTTACGAGCTGATCCGGGTGCCAAGACGCGTCAGTCTTGTCGGCATGGTTCTTGAAGATCGCCTCCATCCGCTTGATGAGGGTCGCGTTGAGCGTCTTGACAGATCGGGCTTCACCACTAACACCGCCTCCGGCTTGATGGAGATCATCCTTTGGCGGGCCAGCACTCTGAGCTGGTGATTCCGCCATTTTCGCTTTTCAAAATAAGCCGGCCGCTGCGGGTATAGAAGGGCTGGGTCAAACCCAAGTACGAGAAATAGACACCTCAGTCGAGTCCGACGGTGCAGATTGAGGGAGCCAACCAAGCTGGAAACTCGTCAACAGCTTTGCGACAGTGGGTACTTGTTTGTGTTTGAAGATGCCACCTCAGAGCAATAAATCCAGGGAAATGTTCGGAAAACCAACACACAACAATGGTGGAAGATTGTCTTTGCAAAACGAAGACAAAGCGATATCCTGCGTTTTCTTTCGTCTCCCACGCCCACACACAGAGCCAAGCACACCCAGTGAGCTGAGCTGGCCACCAAGCGAGGAGGCTATGTCGTCAACCCCACCTCGAGCTTGCTCCAGCTGTCTCGTCAATCACCGTATGCCAGCTCTCTCGCCCACTAAGGCGACTAATAACCAAGCTACGTGTACGGGGGCATGTCTCGCCAATTACAGCAGTTGCAGAGATATTGGCTAGCCCAATGGCGGCACGACCCAAGACCAGGGGGGTAGATCTCTCACACCCGGGTCCCTTTGGGCCCTGATGATGGGGCCGAATCGACCTGTTTCAGCACCGTTAGCAGTCCAGGGAGGGACGGGACCCTTTGTCGGTGACAAGAAGCAGGAGGGAGGCCGCTCGGTTTTCAATCCATTCCATTCGCGGTGCATCAATCCTAGAAGCTTGCTACTCTAGTGATGTCATGTCCATGAACCATGATCACTCCAGTTTCATAGACTATGTGGTCAGTCTCGAGCTGTGAGTCTACCAAACAACAGGCCCTTTATGTATGAAACTGCGGTCTTGATCGTGGCCCAACATCGGAAGCGCCGCCGATGCGGTCCGACCGTTCCCCACGACGCCGCCGGACTTCCTAGGAGGAACAAGTCCAACCGTTGAATCTCCTCGTCATCTACTCCCGGCTGTACCACTCTGTCGAGCCGCCCGTTGTCAAAGGCGATGCCATGCCACAGCAATATTCCAAGGACCCGAGCAAGCTCGACGGTTTCGCGGAAGGCCTTGTCCGTGTTGAGCCGAGGCACCCTCGCCCCGAGTTCCTCCCAAAAAGTACGGCGAAGCTCGCGATGGCCACCGTAGTACTCGAACATGCTCTTCGGGGCAGGATAGCGACCCCCACGGGATTGGTCTTCTCCATCATCGACGACGGATTCACCCAGGAGCTCCTCGAGCCCGTACAGCCCGACACCAAACGGCAGGTATTCCACTTCAGCCCAGTCAATGAGGCCACTTATACGCAATCCACCAGTAAGGGCACGTTCCGAGGCCCCTTGCCTCTCTGTGCTGTCGGTCTTGACCATAACATTGGACGGAGTGAAGTCGCCATGCGTCAAGACCCATGGCAGGGCCTCGATGCGTTCCAGACTCGACAAAACGGCAGTTACGCGAGCACGGAAGCGCAATGGCAGCCCTGACTGCATGTGCTCCAGGCGCCGTTGTAAAGACGTGCCTATACGACCTTTTCGTGTGGCCAGGGAGGCCGAGTCACCAGGGATGGCCTGCTGCAAGGCTCGGTGCGAGAGTCTGACGAAGTCGGAAATCACGTCTCGCTTGTGGTACGACCCCAGCTTGGACTTGCATGATAAGACATCGTCAACCTGTTGTTCCCGGAAGTCTGCAAGCGAGACCCCAGGTATCCGACTCATCGAGTACACGAGAAGCTTGTCACAGCTTCCTTCTATTCCAGCCGTTCGATGGCATGGCTCGTTGCTGTTAACTCCTTTCGGACAGCCCTCCCCGCGAGAGGATGAGCAGGCCTCTACACGGAGCTCGCCAAGCAGATGGGTCTCGGGCGCCAGATCACCATACACCCGGCAAGCTTCTTGGACAAGGCCGACATCGAGCTGATGTGTCGGCGGCCGGAACTGCACGACGAGCGCCTCACCCACAAAAAGTGTATGGGAACAGAAGCCCTGGGGTTGGGCATCTTGCACCGTCAGTCCCGGATAACGAGTGTGGACGTAGTCATAACACAGTCCTCTCGTCTCCGGTGGGAGCCCGTTTCGGAGAAAGAAGTCCTCATCACGGCCTTTGTCGTCGACGAGGCCTGTCATGGTGGCTGGTCCAAGTCATGGCGGCCGACAAGAATGACCGCTGTGCGTTGTAGGTTAGACAGGGTGCCAGGCTCCATGCGAGGGTATAAGCATGCTGAGAAAGAATCCTTAGTAAACAGAACGCCTGACATGCCCATCCGGAGAGACGCGGGGGGATGGGTTTCTGTAATGGTTGCGGCGGCTATCGACTCCCCCCCATGGGAGCGGCCGTCCATCCCCACCACCACCTCAATGCTTGCATGCATGTGATTTAGGCAGGTGTGCCTCCACATAACTGCTACTTGCTATCACGAAAAGGGCTTGCATGGTGCAGCAAGCTCCCGCTAGGCTTTGAAGTCTAGTGTTAGTTGGTTGCTTGTCTCAAATGCCTATCTTGTCTATAGACTGCACTATATGGTCGTGTACTAATCGTATCGTAGGTCATTATCATCATGTGTCGTCAATGTTGATCGTTTTCCAATCGCTCCGGAAGACAGAAAAAGAAGATATCTCCTCGAACCCCGCGTCGCATATCTTGTCAAAGCCACAGCCATTGCCACTGCACCTCTCTTTCCGATTTACTCCATCTTGTTCAGGGGCACCCCAGCCCAGGTCCTCACCTTGCTCATCGTCCTCTTCCGCATGCTGGCCATGATCTGCGCCTCGAGCTTGTCAATGCCGGACTCCAAGTCCAAGTCCTCGTCCGCAAAGGCCTTCTCGCGCTTCCTGTCCCAATAGCGCCACGAGACGACGATGATGAGCGTCAGGGGGATGGTGATGGCGAAGTAGACCCACAGCGTCGGCGCCACGGCCCGGTCCTTGTCCTGGAAGTTGAAGAAGGTCATGGAGAAGACCGAGGCCAGAAACGTCGCGGGCAGGAAGATGGTGCCGAGGAATGACAGCGTCTTCATGCTCGTGCTGTCCCGCTTGGAGGCGTGGGCCAGGCGCCGCTGCTGGCCGGCCATCTCGAGGTTGAGCTTGGACTCCTTCTGCGCGATGATGTTGTACAGTGCGCTGCGCTGGATGTCCAGCCGCGCCAGGGTCGTCGCCGCGTAGTGCTCGATGCCCTTCAGCTTGGCGACGTAAAAGTCGAGCCTGCTCAGCATGCTCCGGTGGAGCTTGTCCAGCTCGGCCTCCCTGCGCGCGTGCGGGAGCTTGTTCATGAACCTGCCCATCCCCTTCCTGATCTCGGCCACGATCTCCTGGTAGGCCTGCGGCCGCTTCCAGAGGACCTGCGAGTGGCACTCGACCAGGTCGCGGTTGATCTGGTCCAGGTCAAAGCTGGCGTCCTTGACGTACCCCTCGTCCTCGACGATCTCGTTGCGCATGCTGACGGCGTGCTCGAGCTTCCTAAGCCACTCGCGCGCGTCGCGCTGTTTCTGGTCGTTCTTGGGGCTCAGGTCGTGCGACAAGATGATGACGGGCAGCAGGAAGGGGTGGGCCACCTGGCGCGCGCAGGCCTGCAGGTGCGTCACCGCGGCGACCAGGTCGGAGGACTCGGTGCCCTTGGCGTAGCCCGTCGTGATGCCCGTGTTGTACGAGTGGGACAGCATGAGCTCCCAGCCGCGCGTCTTGCCCTTCTTGCGGACATCGGACTTGCGGTAGACGATCTGAAGGTGCGGGTCCGCGTCGTCCTGGTCGTAGGCGCACCAGAAGAAGGGGCCGACGACGGCAGTGCCCTCGACTGCGCGGAACGGCAGCTTCAGCGTCCGTATCATCGACTCGTACTGGGCCGCTGTGAAAGATATGTACTGCCGTGTGAACGTTTCCGGATGGTTGGCGTTCTTCTGAAGACTATCCCCAGGGTCAACATCAGCCAGTCAACGGAAGAAGGGGTTGGTCCACGTACATGAGCCTCATGCCATTCAGGAGCTCGACCCCTTCCTTAAGCTTGGGAGGCTCAAAGGCGCCCTGCGACGGATTAGCGGTAAGGCACCTAGCTTAACATGACACAATACAGGACACTGCGACAGCCACAGCTCTCAAACATTGCGACGTGGCAACTTACCCTCCGGTGTAGGAAATTCTCGAACTCATCGTCGGTCAATGGATGTTCCTCTATCGAGTTCAGGGAGGCATCCTGCGCAGGTACGCATCATCCAAATACTTAGCTAACTGCCCCGTGCTCGCCAAGGCTCGGCGGGTTGCCTTTAAGAGTTCACTTACCGAATAGTTGAATATTTCGAGATAGCTCGTTTTCTCTTCGACGTTTTTACAGCTGCGCACATGGAATTGAAACATGTAATCATCCATGTCGGCAGAGTTCTCCGGGGGGACTTTCCCCGTCGCCCAAGGCAAAGGCGCTGTGCTGTGTCGTCTACCGCGGAGCCGACCCGACCAAGCCGGTTGCGATTAGAAATTGGCGTTAGAGCACGATGATCATGATCAAAAATCAACCAGATATGTCTTCATTACAAGAGCAAGCAGTGGGAGAGAGCTTTCGGAACGCTAGAGTAGAGAAAAAGAGTAAAGCAAAGAAAAGAAAAAAAGACGCAGAAAAGTGAAGATCACCAATTTGTCCCCTGCAGATGAACTCGAGAGCTAGAACCATGCAAGCCATAAGCTGCACGGGACATCTGGTTAGCAGCTGGCAGCTAAAAAAACGGCGGAGGTTGGAGGCCTGGACCCGTTAAGACCCCTGTACCAATTGATGGTTAGCTCCGGTAGCGATTGCGGTTAGGGACGCAGCGGGCGGGGTTTAGAGCAGCCTCAACCGGGGTGAGGCAGGTAGCTTCAACCAACAAGGCGACACCTTGTGTGGACCGCTGCGGGGCAACCACGACGAGCAGCAAGTGTGTGGTGGGGGGCATCGTCCGCTGGTCGGGTATCGATGGGGGGGATCGAGACTTCATATTGTTCTCGACCCAGCTCACAGTCTAATAGACTGGATCAAATGAAATAGCGACCAAACAACTGGCCAAGGACGTGAACGAACCGTATTGAGTAACATTAGGACAATATGTCCTCTTTTCTTACACGGACTGGATTCGGTCAAGACTCTTCGAGCCATGTCCAGGTAGGAAATGACATCTAACCCATATATCAGGTTCGAGTAGCTTGAAGTTTCTGCATGATCTACGATGTGAACTCGGCCCCAGTGCAGTGAAGCTTGCTCCTGTACGGCAAGACACCTTGCTACTCCTTATTACCCAATCCTGCTCTGGCCTGGCTGCCCAAACACACAAGCTGAATGACACGAGTTGTCGCCCCTCAGACGAGTTTGATCATGGGTGTGCAACCCAGTTCCATCCGTCTCCTGTCTCGACCAGTCTTTCTAGGCCAGGCGGTCCGGTAGTCTAGAAAATACCGTCGCAAGACCATGAAGCTATGCCGTTCAATATCTTAAACTACACTTTGGTGGTATTTTCTGTTGTATATGGGACACTTCGGATATCGAACTGATCTGCCGACGGGTCCAGCGACTTGCCACGGTTGACAATCCCAGAGCTGTGGTACATTTCTCCCATTTTCACCTTGAACCATGAGTTCCTTTAGAACTCGAGAAACAGGTTACCGTACCTATAACAAACAATGTCAGCATCTGGGGTGTCTGCGATGGGGGAGTGGTGCTGCTTACTCGTCGTGGCCAGTCTGACCATAGCGTTCCGTCTCCTCCGGATACCTGTCGAATTGGCTCGCATCACCAGCCCCAGCCTTGACAGGTGGTGTATAAGGAGCGTCGATGTCCTTTCTCGCCAAGCGGTCCCACGTCACCTCGGCGAACCAGGGATGACTCTTGACGTCCTGCGAACCTCCAAACAAATTGCCCAGGCGCTTCGTGAGGTCGGCTGTAATGAGCCTCTCCAGCAGATCCTGGGCATCTGGGTTGAGATACGGTGGATATTTAACCTTGCCCTTGAGAATGTTTTCGTATATCTTCATGGGCGATCCCCCATCCCAGAAAGGCGTGTAACCGCAAAGCATTTCGTAGATTAAGATCCCCAAGGACCACCTGGAAACCGATTAGTTAAAAATGAATCGCTTGTTATTTCTAGAGAAGACCTCACTTACCAGTCAACGGATTTGTTATATCCCTTGTTGGATACGACCTCGGGGGCCAGATAATCTGGCGTACCACAAAGTGTCCATGTCTTGTCCGGAACGCGTTTGGCAAAGCCAAAGTCTGTTATCTTCAGATGGCCATGGCGATCCAGCAGGAGGTTTTCTGGCTTGAGATCGCGATAGATGATGTTCCTTGAGTGGAGATACTCCAACGCGAGCGTGACCTCGGCTGCGTAGAACTTGGCGACGGGGTTAGGAAATCGCTGATTGCAAAAGAGTTAGCGATGCTCTCCAAGAGTCCCATGCGGTAGCCACATAGGTGGTTGATGTTCTTTGCAGGGAAATTGAAACGGGTAGGAAAAGTTTGTTGCACTTACTCCCGACTTGCGCAAAAGGGAAAAGAGCTCTCCACCCTCGACGAAGTCCATGACCATGTAGAGATTCCGTGCGTCCTGGAATGTCCCCCACAGCGTGATGAGGAATGGGTGCTTCACCTCGCCCAGCATGCGTCTTTCGTCGTTGGTGTGCTCAACCTGCTTCATCTTGACAACTTGCGCCTTCTTCAACACCTTGACCGCATAGAAGCGCTGGTTGTGCCTCGACTGGACGAGATGGACCCGGCCAAAACTACCAGTGCCAAGAGTCCTCAGGATCTCAAAGTCGGCAAGCGAATACTTGCCCTTGGTGACGCGGATTTGTGAGTCTTGGCCCGACTGTTGCTGTTGTTGCGGCTGGGACATGTTGCTTTGGTTCTGGGTAGCACCAGCCTCTCGGCCGTTGGTGGGCGGCAGGGGGAATGCCGATTGGGCTTGTTGCTGGTAGGACTGCGCGTTGCCGTCGTGCTGAGGCGGATTGATCAGGTTGGAGATGCTGGGCAGGTTCTGCGGCTCCGTGCCCGGGGAGGGAGTGGGTGCCGGCGGGGCGAAGTGCGGCTGCTGTACTGGTAGCTGGTTCATTGTCGATGCTGCCTTCCCCTGTGCCTCTTGCTTCGGTGTCAACGCGGATGGGGGAGTTGCGGTTGCCGCACTATCATGCGGCGACGGAGAGAGGACAGAGGTGCTGCTGTCGCCCCCCTTGGGAGCAGTGAGGGTGACTGGACTGCTTGGTTGGCTTGTACCAGAAGGGTCGGTGTTGGCGTCCCTGTTCCGCTTCTTCTTGAGAAAACCGAGGCTAGGCATCAAGCTTATTGTAAAGGAAAGAGCCGACTTGGCGCTGAGGTCGACGGGCCACAGATCGCTCGAAGGCTGGCCCGAGAGCTTGCAGAATACCGCAAACTACCTGTCGAGGTAGGTGCTGTGCTTGAAGCAACGACGAGGAGCTACCTCGAGGGTGATACAAGCGGTAAAGCAAGTATCTTGGTCGCGGAGGAGCACCTGTGCTGCAGGGGAAAGTCCTGCAAGGTAAGAGGAAGTTACAGTGCCGGTTTGCGACAACAGAGGTGACGGGAGAAAAACGTACCGTCGCAGCAAGAACTCACACACAGACTTGCACTACCAACAGCCGAAAGGCAGCAGTTGAGTCTCAAGTAGCCAATGGATGCAGCTTTGGCTCCCGATACCTGGACTTGATGTAGCTGTTATGGCTGTCTGCTGTCACTGCAGCTTGAGCTTCAGGTGAATATGACCTTTGTTGGAGGGAAGTGGAACTGCGAACAGTACATGCGGCAAAATGACGTTGTGCACACACAGGTCGGAAACGGCGCTTTGTCGAATTCGCTACCCAGATCACAACACAGGATAAGCAGCCAGGAGCACGACAATGAAGGTGCACTCTTTCGTTCCCCTTTCCTTTCCTAGGTAGAATGACCAGTGAGGGAGAGCTGGCCAAGGGCAGAATGAGAGCTGGACGAGTGAAGGTGTGAGGGCGGCGCGCGGCAACAATAATAACGTTCAAGCGATCGAAACAGGCTGCCAAAGGTGAATCTGGACCAATAGTCTTCCTTGTCGGACACGGGGGTTATCAATTGCTTCCACAGTCGTGAGATTGGTAATGTTGTATGGCCTGAGCTATCGCGACACAGGGAGGAGCGGGTGCGGAGCGAAGCTGTGGGAGGGGAAGCTGGATCGAGGGAGAAGGAGATGGACCGTGAGAGGGTCTCGACAGAGCGTAAAGAACAAAGCAATTGCTTGCATCAAAAGGTGGGGGTGCTGATGGGTAGCGGGAGAGGCACCAGGTGGGTAAAAAGGAAAGCTACCAATGGATCAAGCCACCGACGGCAAGCAGCTCAGGAATAAGGACAGTCTTGGAAGTTCTACGCCATCGAATCAAACAGTTTGGTGTTTGCTTTTGGAGGGGGCACTGATCTGTTGGTTTCCTAGGGGCGGCGAGTCACAGCAGCTGGGAAACAGACTGGCCGTGGGGCTAGGTACAATACAGATTGACCAGATCAGACTCGAGGGGATCGGAGGGCGGGCGGGACAAGGGCGATCTTCCAAGTCAAGAGGCCCTTTGGAGTCGATGGCTCCAAGCCTCTGATCTCGAGAGGATGTGCTAAAACAATGGAGCTGTTCCGGGGGCGCCATGTGCGGGTCGCTGGCGTTGAAATCATGGGCTGGAAAGCTACGACAAATCGCAAGCATGCCTGGCCTGGGCTCTGTGGTACCATACAAGAGGTAGCTTAGTGGGGGGAAAGGAGGAGAGAATGACATGTTTCCCTTACCAGCCCCTCGAGGCACAAGGCGAGCTGGTGGGGTTGCTGTTAAGAGATAGGCGGCGGTTTTACACTGCAATGAGATTGATCCCTCCCTAAAGTACCTACCTACATATCTGGTATTACCCATATCTGAGAAAAGAGCGAGAGGACCCGGATCTCAGTAAGATACCTGACACGACGAGTACACGAAACCACATACGACGTCCACGGCCGGCCTTAGTGTTGGCTCGGCTCCTAAGCCGGAAGCCCAATCTGGTGAAATGATCGTCACCCAGCACCACTGAACGAGGCCTAGTGCTCTTGAGCCATCGTCATTCGACATGCACAACACACCTGATTAGTCGGCGGGGGTGGCTCTGAGAGCTGCGTTGCGTTTGCAGCTCGAGGCCAGCGTCGTATTCATCCATGCACACTCTCGTGCAAAGCGTTTGATTAAGCACGGATTGTATCAGAGAATGCCGGCATTCGAAGAAGACGAACCTTTCTTGTTATCATCTCGACTCCCTCCGGATTGGCGAATCATGATCTCAATTGGGCCAATTCTGGCTCCCGCTTGGTGTACTCGCCTATCATGCATAAACAGAAGCTTTCAAGGATGCTCTCTCTAGCTGCTGGACCTCCAGGGCAGTGAAGACCCGACTCGGGGACAATACCTACAAGTACCTAGGAAGTAATAGTAGTGATGTAGAGTTCAAGCTAAGTAATTACTTGGGGTTCTGGACCATGGGCTGAGGAATGCTGACTCGGGTGTCTCATTTCGCTGCCAAACCCAGCAAGTGTTATACCTATCCACAGGCAGTTTACGAGGCAACTTGGAGCGCTTCATCTGCAACTCGTGCATGCTGCACTGATGCTCTGTGATAGGTGCATGTAATCATTGGAGACTAAGGTAGTAGTAGTAGGTAAGTAGTTTTTTTTTGTTCGGCCTCATGAAATCACCTTTCGCGGAAACCGAAGTAGGCCATATAAGTACTAACAATCGTACAATTTGCGTGCCGACTTCATTACATCGAGCCAAACGTCACGCCCTAGACCTCTACTTGGAAAAGTTCATCATATAGCCAAGTGATGCCTACAACGCCATGCGACGTGCTTTTCTTCATATGCTCTGTCCTCTGTCGTGTCCTTTTCATCAGGTATTTTCGTTCTGCCAATTCGGCATCCTTGAGGGCTCCCGCAGACGGCCCCGACCCCTAAGCGCTCGCATATCTAGAAACGGTGTGATCGCTTCTGGTTGGTCCTCCAAGCAGTGAAGCCGACATATCCTCCAGCGACAACGAGGCAGAAGAGGATGATCTTCATGAAGAACCAGGTCCAGCTTCCCTTCTTCTCGTCGCTCGTGTACTTGCCGCCCTTGCGTCCGCTACCGGGAGAAGACTTGGTGGAGGGGGATGACGAGTAGATGTTCCTGGCCTGCACAGAGATGATATCGTGGTTATCGCTAAGCTCGCCCGTCTCGGCGCTGAAGCCCAGGTAGGCTACCTGCGGGATCTTGGGCGGCTCGTTGGTCTCGAAGCAGAGGGTCCACTCGCCCTCGGATTTGTACTGCAGGTCCAGCTTGAGGTACTTGTCCTCGTAGTAGGTCAGGCGGAATTTGGTCGGAACAGAGGCATGGCGGAGGCCTCGAGCCGAGCAACCAGCAAACTCGTTGGGCTTGCCGTCCGTGTCCTTGTCGTATGAAGTGTGGCCATCGCCAACCATGGCCATGACATAAGGGAACACAACGCCGGGGCGGTTGTTCTTGTAAGTGTCAAAGAAAATGCCGAGGCCCTCGAACTTGTCGATGCTACCGAAGACGGGGCCCGCTTGTCCGCGCTGCTTGGTGAGCCACATCGCAAAGCCATCGCCGTACAGCTGATTCTTGCCGTGGATCTTGAACTCCACCTCGATTTCCCAGTTCGTCGCGGTCAAGGGAACCCTTGAGAACAGCCAACCTGTTTGTGAGGGGCGATCGGATGTCAGGCGGATATACCTGGCAAGTAAAGAGGATGATTAGCCTTCTCGTGCCCTACGTCGCACGCCAATGATGAAGGGTGTCCTACTGGTCTGTTCGAATTATCGTGTCGCCGCCGAAATCGTACCACCGGCTTTGCATGTCAGAGTCCAGATAGGGCTGCGAAAGGCATGTCAGCAACTTTGGCGAGCTCCCTCTTGCACGGGGAGATGGGCGATGCTGACCTGTTGGAGGGAGTGCGTCCTCAGCTGTGCGAGCAGTTAGCAGACCACCCCTTTTAGACGCGAAGATATTGGGAACCCATGCTTACTCCAATGCTCTTGACACCATCATCGTCAGTGCTGATAGCGGCCCAGGTGGTCGCTGCCAGGCACAGGGCCGACAGTGTCTGGAACCACATGGTCGGTCACCAACGAGGGGAGCAGGGACAGAAGAAAGGAGAAAATTGACAAAGTAAAAACGTCTGGGCGGACGAGGCAGAGTGGTAGCAATGGCACAAGAAAGACTAGGATATTGTTGAGGTGTGCGCGACGAAGACAAAAAGCGTCTTGGAATGGCCTCCTCGCGTGTCACCGTGATGATGTACGGTACCTAATAAGGTGGCCTTTTCCAGGAATATGGATGGATCCATTGGAAACAATGACCCCGTTTGGGGGAGCTATCCGTACCAATGGCGCCTAGCCAGCTGAGGGCCGGACACCACACGCACTCCTGGGCTCCTTATCGATAACCGACGCAATCAATTTGCAGCCAAGACATTTGATCATTGATCTACCTAATCTTCGACTCCCCCGATTTTTCTCAGAAGCCTTCACCATCATCGACACGTCTCAAGGTTGGACCGAGCTTGGCAGATCCAGACCAACGCCTCATCTGAACTGCGCCATTCTTGATTCTTCTCTTCCAAACTTACTACACCTGTAGAAACTTCGCCTACCGCGTCATCGACTGTCGACATGGATTCCCAGGCTGTCAAGGAAGCTGTCAAGAAGCAGGTCACGTTGGAGTATCATACCAACAATGCCCGCACACTGATCGAGGTGCGAAACCCATGCCTAGAACAGTTTCCTTTCCATATTTAAACTGACATTATGCTCTTCTGCAGAAAATCAATGAGCTGTGCTTCGAAAAATGCGTTCCCAAGCCCGGCAGTTCATTATCAAGCGGCGAGCAGACATGCATGAGCCAATGCATGGAGAAGTACATGGCAGCCTGGAACCAAGTCAACACGACTTACATAGCGAGGATAAACAAGGAGGCCTCCAACTAAATACGCTGCACATACGAGAGGAAGAGGATTCCATCACCCCAACTCGTGTACCAACATCACCCCTCGTCGCCGACCCCGAACGAGCCGGATTTTTCTTATCCTGGACCAGGTCGCACACTACACGAGGTTGGCAACATCAAACAGTGTAGATTATACCATGTACCATAGTGTAGCCATATGGCGTTTGTATACTTATCAGGGGTCGCATCTACATAATGTACAATGATCCGGGTATCTAATGCTCTGGTCAGGGTCCTTCCGCGAGACCATTCTTCTTTGCCTCGGCCTCTGCCCTCTTCCGCGCCAGGTATCTCTCCTTGGCGCTCGAGATCTCGGATTCGGTCTTCCTGCTCTTCGAAGCCAGCTCCACCTTTTGCCTCTCGGCCTCTTCTTCGACGCGAGAGCGCTTCAAAGCCTGCTCATACTGGGCTTCGAGCATGCGAGACTGCCTGTCGCGCATGGCCTGCTTGCTCCCAGAAAACACACCTTGACTTCCATCCCGAGGGCCGGTCCGCCCTGCATCCCGGCTCGCCTCCCTCTGCACCTCTGCTTTCTTCTTTGCGCCGACGTTGAGTCCGCTCTTGAGGAGTTGTCTCTTGTCCACAACTTGGCCTTCCTCGTTGATCGCTACCGAGCCACCCTTGTCGTTTATTTCCCTGGCCATCTCGGCTTCTTTCTTCCCATCATCCGCATCATCGTCGGCAGTACCGTCGCCCTCTGTGGGCCCGTCCTTCTGACGATCCTCTGCTGCTTTCATGATCTCAGCGTGCCTCTCGTCGCCCCTGTCGAGCAATTGTTTGTAGAACCCCGTCATGCCGCCGGATCGGTTGTTTTTCGCCTCCTCCTCCTCCCTCCTGCGCTCCTCTTCCTCGAGCCGTCGATTTTCTTCTTGCTGCTTCTTGTATGCCTCGGTGACGAACTTTTCCTTGTCGGCATATTCGTCGCCCTCGGCCTCCCTGTCGCGCTGCATCTTCTTGTCCTCGGCGATCTTCCGGTCCCGTTCCCGCACCTCGGCCATCTTCTTCAGGTTGCTCATGTACTGGGGCTTGCGGTCCGGATCCGCCTTGGCGGCCCGCTTGACGGGCTTGAAGGAGTCGTAGGAAGCGTCGTAGTCGTATATCGAAGGGTCGAGCTTCTCCGCCTCCTCGGCATATTTGCGCGACGAGAGCGCGCTCGAGAGGTCGCCGAGCGCTTGCGCCTTGTGCTTGCTCTTTGGTGGCTGTGAGGGCGGGCCACCAGGCCGTGGCTTTCCAAGCCCTTGCTTCTTTTGACGAGAAGCGTCCGACGCGCCTATCGGGAAGTCGTCGAGTTCTGTGATCTCTTCCTCCTGAGCGCCGGGATTCTGCGCATCATCATCGGAACCGTCATCGTCTCCAAAGACGGGTTTGCGATTTGGCGGGCCAGGTTTTGAGCCTGGCTTTTTTTTCACGTTCAGTCCGTAAGATAGTCCTTTGTTCATCCTGGCAGTACCTAGGTTTCAGGTAGGCACCTTTGACAACTGAGAGTATATGGCGCCTGTAGATATTATTTCGAAATGGAGTCTAAGATGTTCGGATTAGGTACTTCGATGTTCAATGTTCGCGCCTGGCCAACCCTCATTGATAAATGTGCTTATCGATAAGCCCTGCACTGGGCGCCAAGCTCCAGCTGTCACCCTCTGAGGAATTCACAGGAGAGCATCTAATGTTCACTTAAAAGTTTCTGAATTGTCCTCCTCTTTACATATTGTCATATTAACTCCACACTCAGTGCATTGACAGCCCTATCAGTATACATGCGACATATCCTTATAGGTGCTTTGCGTAAAAGTCTGCTACCTGTTGGTACCCGCGCTCATATTCCTCCCTGTTCTTCTCGTCTGCAAGGTTCGCCCTCGCGCCCATCCAACCGTGGAACATGGACCCGTAGGTCTCGACCTCGCCGACTCTGCCGGGCCGTGACAGGATCTCTTTGATCTGGGCGACGACATCAGCCGGTTCCCCTGGAGATGCGAGACAGATGTAGGGCACGTTGAGGGCCTCGACGTCCTTGGCCTCGAGCCGTCTAAGTCAAGATATTAGCAAGCCCTGTGCAAACAACGCGGATCGACCTATTGGGGCACTGTACGCAGGATGAGCGGTGCCGCTCACGGTGAACTTTCGGCCCGCGCCTCTGTTATCCTCGCCGCAAGCAAGAGCGGCAACTAAAAACGGTAGGCCCGTCAGTCCTGGTGGTCAATTTCACCGTTTGTCCCGAGATCAGGAGGCACAGTCAGGGGGTCCGGAGGTGCTCACTCTTGCCGCCCCAGCAAAGGCCAAAGACCCCGACATTCTGCTCAACTCGTGGCCATCGCCGGCCTGCCTCTTCACGGATCCTTGCCAGCGCCGCGACGTTCCTCGCAGGCTTGGCCTTGGTGGACCTGAATTCCGACATCGCCGCCTTGGCTTCCGGGTCTGCATTGTTGCCGAACCACGCGGGGTTGGCTCCCGAGCCCTCGAAGAAGTCGGGGACGAGTACGATGCAGTCGCTGATGAGCGCGGACAAGCGATCTGCGCCCTGCAGTGTTTGCGGGGTAATCCCAAAGATATCGTAGACGTCAACGATGGCTCTCGAGGCAGACTGCTCGGGACCAACAACGTCTAGACATGATTCATCAGCCGTGAGAAAGAGGACAAATGCGGACTGTGCAACTCACAAGTCTTCAAACCAGCAATGGTCTCGTATCGCCCTTGCGGGTTGTAGTCTGCGGCCGCAGGCTTGCGCTCGCAACATGCTTCGCTAGCCATTGTTCAGAACAGTCGTCTTGTTGGGCTTTTTGGTTCTCCAAAATTGATAATACGGAATCCTGGATCCCGTCTCGCATTTCATGTCTCCGTGATGAGAAGGCCCGTCGCTTTCAAATACTCAGAGCTAAGACCATCCATGATGAACCACAGTGATTTGCGGACCGGATATGGTGATCGGTTAACACTGGCCGTTTCGGCACCGACAGTCCTTGCCTCGAAGACAATAGCGCAATACCTCGACTTCCTTGGTAGAAAACACTTTCGATTCAACTGCCTACAGCCTAAGGGCTTTAGGTATTCTATTCATAGAGGATCTATTGTTTATCTGTATGCTACACTGTTGTACACTCTAATTACTCAGACATCCCCATAGCATTACTGATATATTTTGTACAATGGATTTTATACAAGGGCCTGCCCCATGAACATGCTCTCTCTCACCTCCGCAACCACATCGCGGCGGTCATCCTTGCCGACGAGGACGATGCCACGGCCCCTCCTGCCCATGCGCCCGGCACGGCCGAGTCGATGGATGAAGTCAATGGTGGTGTGCGGGACGTCGTAGAGCACCACATGGCGAACGGCGAGTGTGTCGATGCCTCTCGAAGCCAGATCAGTGGCAACAATGACCTTGGTATTGGGCAAGGAACGCTTGCCCTTGGGCTGCTCGGACGCGGGCGGAGGCGCAGTCATGGGCTCTGACGACGTGAACGACGCCAGCATCTCGGACTGCCGATGCTCGGGGGAGTCGCGATGCAGGGCGACGGCGTCTATGCCCTTGGAGACGAGGTAATCGGCGACTTCCTGCGTCTTTTCTCGCTCGTTGACAAAGACCATGATGCGCTTGATGTCGACTTCGCCCTTGACGGGTCCGTCGTGCCTGGCAGCCTCTTTACCGATGGACCAGATGGCGTCTGCACAGGCCAGGTTCTTGTTGTTTCGATAGGGGTCCTTGGACACATCTATGACACCCAGCTGGACTCTGCGGGGGATGGCATGCAGGTTTGGCGTCGTAATTCGCTGCATGTCTGGGAATTGCTTGGCCAAATAGTTGTCCAAGCGCTTGGGAATAGTCGCCGAGCACAGGACGAGCTGTTTTAGCGACGGCATGGCACGGTCGAGGATCTTGGTCGTGACCTGGGAGAAGCTGCGGTCAAGTAAAGAGTCGGCTTCATCGATGATGAGGTGCGAGACTCTCGAGAGGACATTCGGGTCGGTCTCCGCAATGGACGCGAGGAGATGGGGGGTTGCTACGATCATGTCGATGCCGGAAGGCGAGTAGAGATTTCTCTCGATCACCTTAGCCGACATGTTGGCAGACAAAAGATCGGTTCTGAACTTGACGGCGTGGGACAGCAGTTTGGCAACTGCGCCCACTTGATCGACCAATTCAGCGGTCGGTACCAGCACAACCACTTTCGGGCGTGCGGTGGTCGGGTGAGGCTCAAACACGCGCGGACCTTTGTAACCGGGTTCGCTCCGCCGCTCCTTTTCCTCCGCTATCCGTTCATTATAGGCAGTGATCTCTGGATCCTGTGCTTCGGCGACCTTGAGAGCATTGATAGCAGGCAACAGATACGCCAGTGTCTTCCCCGAGCCTGTCTCAGCGGCGAGGAGGAACTCCTGCCGGCCAGCGGTAGAGGAAGCGGATCTCGCGTTACGAGAAGCTTTTGAATTCTGACCCAGCAACGCCGGCACCGCCAACCTCTGCACGGGCGTGGGCTTGATGTCGATCATGCCTTTCAAGACATCCGAGGATATGGCTTCCTTGATGGAAGGGAGGAGGTCAAACGTGTCGAAGGATTCGAACTCTGGGAGTCGCGATTTGATATGCGATCTTTGGCCATAGCCTATAGTTGCCAGAGAGCTCTGCATCTTCAACGCCTTGAAGCCCTTGCGATCATCCCGACCACGAGAGCGCCGCTTCTCGGTCTGGGCCTCGGTCGGAACGGGCCCGCGTCTCTTGGAGGGATCAATGTTGGCAACAGTCCGGTTCATGCCAGAAAAAGGCCCGTCTGGCCTCTTCCGGGGGGTTCTTTCGGCACCATCGCGCGATGAGGGCGGTCGAGCAACACGGTCGGACAAGACCATTCGGGATGGGGTTCCACGTCGGGCTGGCCGACTGGACATGAAAGAGCGTTGCATTGTCCATGGCCGGGACGGCCCTGGCAGTATCCTTGGAACGCCGGAGTATCTGCACAAGGGACATACAGAGTCCAAGGCCGATTTCCACATGGTGATAGTCTGCTGGGCTTGGATGCGGAAGGGTTGGCGTGCACATCCCCTATCATCAAGCTTGGGAGTCGCAAAGTCGGAAAAAAAGAAACTACAGTGCAATTTCCAATCGTTATCAGCACCGATAAGCAACGCGGTTGCACGTGTGTGCCACTGAAAGCGGAGCCTTTGATCTTCGATGCGGCGGGAAGCCCGCTGGGTCCAGGACTCGACTCGACTCGACCGGGAGGAGACCTTTGCTAGTTAGCTCCCCACTTAGGGACAGCCTACAGCTACAGCTCGAGCTTTGGTGGGGCCAAGAAAGTTTGTCTGTGGTGGGCCGGAGGGGGGTGGAGCATGGATGCATGATTGCTCCAATTGCTCCAGACCAAATCCTCCAGTTCAGCAGCAGAGCGAACACGATGGCGTAATGCAGGCTCTCCCACCACTACCCGTATTGGATGGTAGTCATGCCGGATCGACCTCTCCGGCGGATTGAAAGCCGTTGGGAAATGGATGATGTAACTGGCTCGAGGGATACTAGAATGTGCTGCCAAGCAGCCAAGCGGGGTTCAGCATAGTTGACAGAGGTTCATGAGGAGACCGGCACCTCAATGTGAACCGTGAATAGATATCCTTGCCATATCCTTGCTCAGGAGCTCGGAAGGGCTATCCCACTGCCTACATTGCTGGTAAGCCCGATGGCATTGATGGATAGGTAGTCTTGGTAGTCCAGCACTTCTGTGAACAGGACCATGCAATGTGCCAGCCTCCCAGAAGCTCCAAGTACTCCGTACCTAGGAATTACCGGCACCACCACTCTAAGCCTTCTTTACTGAGGTCGATCCAACCAACAGATGCATCCAAGAGCCGCTAATAAACCCGCCTTGTGGACGCCGTCGATCCCCCGGTCCCGTCGCTTCCCAACGGTACTTAGAGACAAAAAAGCCACCCATGACGATGTTGAACGTCGTTCATCGACCCTGGCTGAGCGGGCAGGAGAATTGGGGCCAGCCATTGCGCAGAACTCTGAAGCCGTTCGAGATGTGGCTCCATTCAAGCATGCTTCTGGGCTTTCCAGTGACCACTTCTGTCCCCAGTCGCATGATTACTCGGCGCCCAGAGTTTCCCAAAGGTTACTCCGCCTTGACAATGCAATTGCTGGAAGGTTGGGCTGGCAGGGAGGGAGGGAGGCCTGGCAGTGAATGCTCGCTGCTTTATTTAAGGACCTACTTGGGTACTTTACTTACGCACTTGCTTTCTTAAACTAAAAGTAAAGCGACGGGGGCCGGTATTTCGCTGAGGGGTAGCTGCTTTGTGCTGTGACAAGGACATCAGATCATCTATTGGTGCGTGTCTCTAAGCGCATCAAGATTTCGTCAAGTTCTGGAACGACATCATACTTCCCCTCCCACACATTGTCCGAGCTTCGCATTTGCTCGATTTTCTCTATCGTCCCATCCTTCCTCGATTGTGTCCAGAAGACTCGCAACCGAGATATCTGTCGACGCCCACTCAGAGACAAGCCCCTCTACCCTCTGTTTGCGCTCTCAGGCATCGCCTTCTCTTCTTCAACTTTGGGGCTTCCAGGCGATGATCTCGCAGTAATATCTCTTCTCAACGCCCCCATCCAACATGGCGGACACCAAAATCCCCATTACCATCACCTACCGCAAGGCAGGGACTCAACCTCCGATTTTTGTCGCAGGTTCCTTCTCCGACCCAGCATGGCATCCTCAGGAGATGGAATATACCACAGATGAAGATGGAGAACATACCTTCAAAATGTCACTCACCGCAGATGAAGGATCCAAGGTCCAATACAAGTTCCGTATTGGTCTTGGCGACTGGTGGGTTTTGAACGAAGACGCTCCCACAGGTAAGCTCACTTCCCAGCTCTTCTCATAGATACGAGGAAGGCCACTAACATCGTACAGTGGCTGATGACGCGGGGAATCGCAACAATGTCGTCACCGTCAAGCGGCCCATCACGAAGGGTCCTCTCCAAGCACTGAAGACCGACCTGGCCGAGACTCGTTCTGGTGCCAGCACTCCAGGGTTTGTTCGGACAGCTGCAGAAGTGGCAGACTCTGCGGCACTGCTGGACAAGGAACCACCCGAAGACGAAATCCCGGACGACGAGGCGGGTAGGCTGGGATTCAGGAGACTGTCTGCTACGCCCATGCCCGAGGTTGCCGCCACTGCCGCCGAAGTAGCCGATACTGCTCGTTGGCTAGATGAGAACGAGGTAGGTCTCATCAACTCTCAAGACGATTTACATACTTATATATCTTTCAGGATGTGGATGATAATCCAGCCCCGCCTTTACTTGCGCACGAACGCCTCAGCGGTACGAAAGATGCGAGGGAGGACTTGGAACAGGATGGACCACCGCTGTTTGCCCATGAGTGTCTGGACTCAAACGGCAGTGATACGGGCTCGCACCGCAACCGTCGTGCGTCGATGCAAAGCACTTCCACCCATGACTACGAGGTAGAAGACTTTGACTTGTCTGATCCGAGTCTGGAACGGTTCCCCTCCAGTCGGGGTGAGATTATGGACAAGGTCCGGAGGATATCGACGGAGCTCGACGAAGACCGGCCATCTTTTGAGGGAGCTCCTATATCCCCAGTCATCGGGCCTGGCAGGAGGAAGTCAGCAGACTTCAATGGCGAGTATCTGTCCCTCTCACCCTCCACCAGCCCCATTCTTCCCCGTCCGGTCAAGAGGCTAGACATCCCGCGAGGTTCCCAAGGATCACAGACACCAGACCGATCGTCGTCGACTATGTCTCTCCAGTCCATTGAAGAAGACATTGCGGCAGAGGGCGACGTAGACGATGTTGTCGTCCTACTGCCTAGCCCCCCACGATCTTCCAAGCCTGTTCCAAAACCGCCGGCCAGCGATGAGGACGAGGGAGTGGCTTTGAAAGGCCCTAGCGATGAATCTTCAATAGCAAAGGTCACAGAACAGGTCGATCAGAGCCCTTCACCCCAGCAACACCAGTCAGGAAGCCCTCAGATAGTCATTCATCGCACCGAATCTGGCACATCGGGCCGGGACGTTGGTACGAGCCAAGGGGCGGATGAGGGCTCACCGAAAGCAAAAGGGCCAGCTGTGAAGGAGAGCTCAGGGGTAAAGCAGGACGCGGCGGGCTCAGCCGTTGGAAGTGAGGGTCCGTCTCGCCAGTTGAGGAAGCGGAGTCAAGCAGAGCGCGCAGGTACGCCTACATCCATTCACTCCCCCGGTGTGGACGTGGTCAAGAGTAGGGGCTGGATCAGCGCCTTCTTCAGGCTGGTGTTTGTAGACTGGATCGGTGGCTTCTTTAAGAGGCTGTGGGGAAGCAATCGGAATGCGTAAGGAGCACATCCGCACGCAGACGGAACGCTGCTTGTTTGATTTGCAACATGGCCGTTGACTCGCTCTCTAGGATGATGACCGCTGGAACGGCCGCTGTTGTCATGGGAGCGGTGTGGTGGAAAACAACAAGCAGGGAGACGTGAGATGGACGAAGGAAAGCATGGAGAATTCGTTGCTACCTACCTATGTCTGTCATTCTTGAGGTCCTGATCAGGCGACGGAAGATTGGAAGAAGGGGAGGAATAGGGGGTCGAGCGTGGGCACTGAACAAAGGTCTAGCATTACACGAGCATGGATTATCGATTAATAGGAATTACTGTGCCAGGCAGTCAGGTCCGCTCGTGAACTTGTCAAGCATCCATCCAGTATGGAATTGGTGATGCTAGGTAGGTACTGAGGAGTTGCGAGTTCAGATCTAGTGAAACCGGTGAGCAGTCCGTGGGGTTCAGAGCTCGTTTGTTTGAATTGCTGCGGGTGGCTTTTAGTGGGATGGAGCCTGTCCGCCAACGCATGTGACAGCAAGTCATTCAAACAAATTCGTCAACCTAGGACTACCTAGCTTCTGATTCTGCGCTGCGACTGGAATGCGCAGGCATCGCAGTACCAATTTCTCTTGAAATTTTGTACCAACCTAGACCGTCGAGCATCTGCCAACTTTCCCTCACTATTGGCGCATCGCAGCTGTGTTCGACCACAGCCAACGAGGCCACGATGTCGGTCCCACCGCAAGTGATTCACGTCAAGCGCAAACGGACTGAAGAAGGGCCTGTCGCCTTCCTGCGTTCGTGCTACCTTGCCCCTGCTTCACGGACTGACTGCACTTGTGGGGATCCAGCCAGCTAACAGAGATCCTCCCCCTCGCCTGCAGGCCTCGAGGAGAACAACAAGCGATACCGGAGCAGCGCGGGCACCTTTCTCTACAAGCGCAATGATCCCACAGCCGTCGAGGCTCCCGCCCCGGCCGAGACACGGGACATCAGGCCTGTCATACATGTATCGAAGCCCGGCGACGAGGAGGAGAGGCCGCCCGTCGTCAAGACGGCAAGGGCTGCGTCCGGCACAGACGCGCAGCAGCAGCAGCAGCGGGCGCACAAGCCAATTGCTTCGCCGCGGGCCATCAGCACCTCGGCTGCAGCCAAGAGGTTAGCAGGAGGCGCGGCGACGACGACGACGACGACGGGAGGAGGGGGCCAGCGCAGGTTTCATCTGTCGAGGAGCTCGACGCCGGCCACGCCCCCGCCCGTCTTGGGCTCGGGAGGTGTCAACAAGAGGTCGCGCTACGCCTCGCCAGCCGTCTTTGTGGAGCGGGGCAAAAGAAAGAAGGCGACCGCCGCGGGAAAGGCCCTGGAGAAGCAAGTATCAGGGCTCGATCTCAGATCTGGCGGGCCTAGGTCTCCCTCCCCGCCGCCGCCCGAGAGCATGGATGTCGAGCAGCAGAAGGGGCCGCCGGCCCGGCTGCCCAAGAGGCCAGGATCCAAGATGGCCGGCTCCAGGGTCGCGTCGGCGGCCGCTGGACCACCAGAAGCAAGCGGCGGCTTGCCAAAGTCTCTGCTCAACCGGTGGGAGGTGGACACGGACGAGCTGGCGCGCGAGATGAATGAGTACACTCTGAAACAGATTGGCCTCAATCTCGCACGGATCGAGGCCGAGGACAGCAAACGGGCCGCCTCGGCAAAGCCCGCTGCTGCGACCACAACCACTCCACTTTCGCCGCCCAGGAAACCTTCCTCGTCGTACCTGAGGGGTTTCAAGCCAAAGTCTCCTGCCGCCAAAAAGCCGTTGGGCCTGTCGGAACCAGAAGGCACAGAAACGGCAGCGGCAGCGCCAAGACAGCAGACTCAAGACGTGGTGGATGTGGACATGGCTGAGGAAGGCGATAGTCCCGAGAGCGACGAGGAAGATGACGATGAGGAGGATTACGTCACAGAGACCTACTACAGGGTTCCTGAGCAGGTCCTCGACGCGGCTGACATCAACCCAGAGCATGTCGGCCTCCTGGTGTTCGATACGGAGCCCGACGTCGAGTTCTTCTACGGCAACGAGAGCGAGAGCGAGGAGGACTGGGAGCCCGACGAAGATGAGAACGGTACGTGTTACTGTACTGCACTGCCTACAAGCTTGCCTTGTCCTTTCACGCACCTCATTCTTTTGATGATTTGCTAATGCAGGGTGTGGCTACACCACAGCTGAAAACTATTATACGGCCGACTACCCCGATGATGAAGTCGCGTCTGATGATGAGTACGACCAGAATGCCTACCATTACCGCACCGGTAACGCTTCGGACCTGGAGGAGTTTGATGATGACGCGTTCAGCGGCGACGAGGATAATGGAGGATTCAAGATCACGATCGGAGGCAAGAAGTCCTCCAACATGTATTGATGTTTGTAATGATAGATTTGCCAATGCCTGCCACTCTGGCCACGGATGGACAGCCACCTTGATCCAGATCGTGAAGTAGTTCCAATGCATTGCGATGGAGAGACATTGCTTCCAAGCCATATATTTTAAGCTACTATTTCATAGAAACCTCGTTTCATATAGGTATCGTACATCCTCCTCCCAACGGCAGGCTGGAATGCTGTCCGGTGCCCGTCCCTAGCTTAGAACTATCTCATCCCTTCCGCATTCCTCATCTCGTTTTTCCTCCCTCCGCATTTCGAGGCCGTAAGAAATCGCACGTTCATTCCAATCATTCCATTCCATATCATCCCTGTAGTCCCAATAAACATGAATCTTTCCCCAGCCGGTTTTAGAATGGGCGAAAAAGGACCGAAGGTGAAAAGAAAACTAATGTACAAACGAAGGGAGAAGAAGAAGAAAAAAAAAAATATAAGAACTCGGTGGATGCCACCTTTTGGTATGAAGAAAAGCAGAAATCAGCCACCGCCCGCCTTTTTTGTATATCAGTGCGCATCGAGGAGGATCGCAGAAGAGAAAGGAAGCCAGAACCAAGAATTGCGTGAGATCAAAGGAAAGGGCAACGAAAAGGTATGATGAAATAACAGCAGCAAAACAAGGAACCACCTAGGAAGCGACGCGGCTACATTGATGGGAGCCCAGACCGCATCAACGACGACATTACGATACATGCTCTTCTTTACGTATTCTCGCGTGTATCATCAAAAAGTGTGTTCAACGAAAAATCATTTCTCAGTTCTTCAGGCTGCCTCTGCGGCCGCCCTTCTTGTCCTTGTCTTGGGACTGAGACCATCTGGGCAGGCCGAGGGCCATACGCTGACTATCACGGCGCGCGGCTATATCACAGACACAAAGGGAGTCAGTCTCTGGTAGTTTTTTTGTTTTCCAAGATACAGGAAAAGGGAGACTTACCCAGATCAATGGCCAGCTCGAGATCGGCCTGGTCGACGAACCAGTACCGGTTGGCCGCCACGCGCTCGGGGAAGCGCATGATGAGGTCGAGCTTCTGGCCGTTGTGCAGGCTCTGCTCGCGCACCTTGATCGACGTCGTGCGCTCCGTCCCGTCGGCGTTGAAGACGAGCAGGCCGTCGGCGTCGACGACGGGGATCTCGAGGTTCTCGCGGTAGTAGACGCCCTGCAGGCCCTGCACGCCGCGGCTGGGCTCCCGGGTCGAGGCCGACGACGACGCGGCGCCGCTCCCGTCCTCGTCGTCGCCGCTGCCGCCGCCGCCGCCGCCGGACTGGCGGGCCACGTAGCGCGCCAGGAAGGGCGCGTCGTGCTCGTACGCCGCCTCGATCTCCTTCCACGTCATCTTCTTGCTGTCGCGCTTGTACAGGATGTAGTCCCTGTACACGTCGGCGTACTTCTTGTTGCAGTGCGGCTTCTTGAACACGCCGGCGCCCCGCGCGGGGCCCAGCGGGTTGTGCGGTTTCCTGCCGCTGTCGGCGGGCGAGGTGATGGAGGTGGCGGCAGACCTGGGCGAGGTGGAAGAGGCCTCGACCGTCCGGGGAGGCAGGGCGCCCCAGCCCGGGGCGAGACGCACGCGGAACTTCGTCGGCTGCTCGAGTGAGTGGAGCGGGACCATGGGCTGGTGAGTGACGGTGCTGTGGAAGCCGAGTTGGCCCTCCTGCGGCGTCCTCGGCGAAGGGAGCGGCGAGGAGAGGATGCTCGAGGCGCGGCTCGAGGCATACTCTGACAGAGACGGGGTGCCGACGTCGGTTGTCCACGAGATGGTCGAGTCACAGCTCGATCGTCGCGGCGCCGAGTCACCTCCGCTGCCGTCTGAGCGCTTCTGGTCCTCCTGACGCCATGCCTCGATAGTGTCGACCATCTGGTTCAGGCTGGGGATGACTGTGGCAGAGTGTTTTGACTGTCGAAGGGCGACCTCGTCTAAGTGGACAGGGTCAGACTATCGTCTCATCGAGTAGCGAGGGAGAGTATATGGGGTTTCCTTACTGTTGATTTCTCTTACTGGCGTCGGCAAGGGCAGAGGAGTGCCCACCGAGAGCGAGGTCAAGACCCTCGCACAGTCCTCCTTTGCACTTTCGGCGTTCCATTGCCTGATCTCTGACGGGTAAGTCATGGCGACGGGGTGCAATTGGAGAGGCTCGACCGGTTTCAAGTGTCGTGTCAGAGCCATTGTGGTGATTTGAGACTTTTCCCAAGACTCAGGAATGTTCCTTGCAGACTTATCACGCTCAAAGCACACAAGAAGGAAGGGAAGGGGGGTATAGTGAGCAATGGTAAGGATACTGGTACCGACCCAGGAACGCGGGACGGATGATCGAAGGGGCTTATATGGGGGCTAAGGGGAGATCCGCGATGAGGGAGGGGGGGTACCCTTGGGCGAGGCAGGAGCCCTTGAACGGACGGTTCTTAATATACTTGACGTTTTCTGGGGAACACAACAACAGAGGACGATGGAGAAAGAAACAATGCCTGGATCTCACTTCTCCATAGACTTGGATCGAGTATCCACAGGGGGGGGGGGGGGGGGGATG